GAAGAAGAAGAAGACGAAGAGGAAGAAGCGAAGGAGGAAGAGAAGAAGAAGACAAAGCCAGGGAGAAGAAGAAGAAGAAGATCTCTCTCTCTCTCTCTCACTCTCTCTCTCTCTCTCTCTCTCTAACTAACGCACTCACCGTGTCGCGCGTCGGGCGGCGTAGGCGGGTGGGGGCTTCGACGACAAACGGGGGCTTTGCACACTCACGGCGACAACGAACACTGGCGTTGACTTCGTTGGCGGGAAACAAGATCCAGCACACAAAAAAAAAGGGCTGGTAGGCCCCATTTGAACGATTTCAAATTCCGCCCATCTGGGCCGTCGATCTTGAGAATCGACGGCCCAGACGAGCAGGGATTTGAACTCATTCAAACGGGGCCTACCGGCCCTTCTGTTTCTTTTTTCTTACGTCTACGGCTTCCTTGGGGGGGGAGAAGGCCCCCCGCGAAAAAAAAAAAACCAAAAAAAACAACCCCTCTGTGATGCGCTGGGGTCACCCGGTGGCCAACCGGGCGTGACGACCGGCCAGGCGGCCCAGCCCCCCGCCCGGGCGACGAGCCGGGCGCCGGGCGGCCCGGAGTGCAGCCTAGCAAAACAACAAACAAAAATAAAAAATCATTGAAAAATGCTTATTTTGCAGGGCTGGTCCCTGGATGGACCGGGGACCCCTACCCCATCCGCGGTCCTCCCGTTTGGACCGGCCGGTGGCCTGGGCCGGTTCCCTCCTGGTTGCCCCCAGCGCATTTTCGCTGGGGCCTGAATTCTTTTTTTTCCCGGCATGTATGTGCTCCCGAGGCCTTGTGGGGGTGGGCCCTGCCCCGCAATTTCGAAACCGGGACCTGTAGGCCCGGATTTTGCAAGGCCAAAAAGTGGCCAATCATGGCCGCCGATCATCGCAGATCAGCGGCAAAGATCGGCCAGGACACCAGTTCTTAAGAAAAACGGGCAGAGGATATCCGTCGCTGATCTTTGCAGATCAGCAGCGGAGCACCGCCACACATTTTTCTTAAGATGTGCGTCGGGTAGGCCCCTTCTCCAATTTGTCATCTCGTGGTCCAATGGACCCGTTACCATTGGCAACATCTGATGCTCTTTCACCCTCAGCCACGAGGGGAACACTATGCTTGTGATGAGGCTCTGCTGAGATTATATCCTTCTGCAACGTCCCTGCCATCTGTGGAAACATCTGTGGAAAAGTTGTGGGTTCGGATTTTGGAATCGTGATGTCAGAGCCGTCCGAGGTGCAAGCCCAAGAATGGACCGAAGCTATATTCTTCTCTCGATCTATCACGAATGGACCTTGCTCCACTACATGTATCTGGACAGACTTCCAGGCAAGATACTTCCGGACTGATAACTCACCTTATGTAGAAACCAACAAACAGAAAACGCTCTGCCTCCACGAGCTCAAAGCTGGAACCATAACTCTTCTGCTGTCGAGTTATACTCTGGAGGAGCTATAACTTCTGGCAAGGACCTCCTCTCATTATATCTGGTTCAGCTCGTGGGGTATCAATATCAAATGACACACTCCACGAAGTGCTCCAGCCACGGGGGGGTTGGATAAGTGAACTTGCTTACTCGACCCCTCCCCGTGGAAGCCATAGTTGCCTGAATATGTCAATAATAACCCCCTGCCCCCCTCTGGAAGCCCCCTGAAAAATATTGCACCTTGAAAATTTTATTGCGGATTCCGACAGCTCTTGAAGAGCGCAGTCGGAATCTGCCGAAAAAAAAAGAAAAAAGATATTTGGGCACTTTTTTTTCAAAACCGGTTTCCCGGTTCACCCCCCCTGGCCTGGTCCGGCTCCGGTTGGACCGGGGTAGCTCAACCGCCCGGTTGCCGGCCCAGCACTGTTATTTTGGCTGGTTCCGTGATTTTTTTTTCTTTTTCAATTACAAAAAATATTTTTTGTGAAAGAAAAAAAGAAAAAATTATGGGGGGGTACCCTCGGATGATCTTCACCCTCCTACAAAAAAAAAGAAGAAAAAAAAAAAACCGTTCCCACTCTACGTGAACTCCATAAACTACAACCGGTCACAATTTTTGTGACCGGTGACCGGACCCCGTGAACGGTGAACGGTGGTACGACATTGGCTCTACCCCAACTGGGGCCTTCCTGCTGCAGCGCCCACCAAGGTGATGAATTTGGCAACCACCATAGCCAGGTAAGTACCTCTGGCGCTCCCCTGGTCTTCTTTCTCCTCCTGTCCTTGCTCCTTCCCCAGCAGCGCAGCTCTGTGCTAGCGCTGCTCCAGCCAGCGCTCCAACCAGTATGTCGCCAAACTTGCAAACGGACAATGAGGAGGAGCTCTTTGCTCTTCCTGGAGATATAGTGGCCTGCTTGCCTGTTGGCGAGAGACTTCCTAGGCCGTGCGGCCTCTAAGCAATCGGTACCTCCTCCCTTTCAGAGGGAAGCATCATTGCAGACTCTGATATTGTCCGTACAGGCCCTAGACTCAGACTGGTTGGAGTGCTACCCGTCTAGACCTAGCCTACAACTACTGGGCCTCTAAAAATGCCAACTTTGTCTTCTTCTGCTCCGCCTCGAGTACCCGGCACATCTACCTCTACCTGGTGTGGTACTGGCCTACCTGCTACTTGAGTGTTTTTCTGCTGCTTCAAGTGTCGCAAGCCTCCTTCCCTGCCACTTGAGTGTTTTGCCGCTGCAATCCTCAATGCCACGGCCACAGGTAAGTACTGGCCCTTTGGGCCTTCCACACGGACAAGTACCCTAGCGGGTCACACACACGCTCAAACCGACAAGCACTCAGACAGGCATGCAGACCAGCAAGCACACACACACTCGGACTTAGAAAACTCAGCAACAAGCGGGAAAACTGAGCAAGGCATACATCGCATTGGCAAAGACTCAGAAATCTTCTGTGTGTCTCAATCCGTGTTTGGCAGGTCATTACACACCAAAGAAAGAATAGTTCTCATTCCTTGAAGCCCTGATTCTTCTTGCGTATTGGTGCATAGAAGGTTGTCACTCTAAGGAATGTTAGCCTTGCGTGGTTTGCTTTGTATTCACTATGTGAGGCCATGAGCCAACAGAACTGCAAGAGCTGATGCTGAAAAAATATGGCGCGGAAAGGTTGAATGATGTATGTTGGCCGTTGTAATGTGTATTGCCCTGTGATAATACATCCTGGCGCTCTATCTTTTTTAAATGGCATGCCTGCCTTTTTAAGGCAAATTGCTCTTGTCGTAGTGTGTTCTAACATCCATCTTATTCGATTGATTGCTATGACTGTCTTGTTCTTGCTCCTCCGGGCACTCACAGGAATGCTGTTTCTGTACTGGTGTTGCTGTTTTCAATGGGGGTTACTTCTGCAAGAGGAGACTCTATGCAGATTGGTACGTACATGTGCCTCGCCAGTTAGTAATCAAATTCACTTTCTCCTTTCCTCCCATCCTTGGTTACTCGCTCATTGGAGCTTTTCACTTGCTCACTCACTACCTCAATTGCTTGCTCATGTGCCGGCCATCCAGCCTCCATTCTGTCCTGTCCACCTGTTGAATCCATCCATCCATCCATCCAGCCTCCATTCTGTCCTGTCCACCTGTCACATGAGCAAAAAATGCGCTCTTTTAGTTCAATCATGACATGGACCATGGTGCCATTGTCCCACAGCTCTCAGTGGTCAGAGGCATGTACAATGGCCATGTAATGGCCAGGGCCGTGCACAATGCAGACAGAGATGTGGGATGGAGGATTAAACCACTCACCTGCTCGAGCATTGCGTAGTTCAAGTTGACGGTCCCTCATTGCTACTTGTAGGACAGCAATAGTAAAGCCTCCTTCGCTGGTATAATTACAATCCTCTGGCTGTCGTTGGGGAAGATCAACATCAAGCTGAAGGGCGATTGCAAGGAAGTCTGATGG